CAGTGACTGTCACACTGACCTTCCATTACGGGCAGTCTGTCTCCTGGTCTTCCTTAGGGACCACTTGAGGGCTAGGATTGGCTTCTACCTTAACAGAAATCTCTTGGGAGGCCTTGGGGTGGGCCGGAGTCTGCCTCTGCGGGGGCTTTTGCCTTATGGTGCTCTGATGGCTGACATCTTAGAGAGAATCTCTCACTGAGGGGCCTGCATTCCTGACCCCATCCCTACTCTGGCTTCTCTTGTCCCTTAATCTTCTTCCTGCTCGCCTGAATTCCTGGCACTCTGCTGGCTCTGACCTTGGGCATGACTCCCCTTACTTCCCCTCTCTGGCAGTCCTAGGAGAGGCTTGGTGGCCCCCACTCCATCATATTTTGGTAGGGGGTGACAACATGACCAACAGTCATTTAACAGACTCCTCAAGGCGACCGACAATCGCACAAGCAGGCCGGGTGCTGGGGATGCCACAGGTTAGTTGGGGATAAAGCCTAATTCCCTGCCGCAGCTGCCACCGCCGCCCAATGGCCAGGACCCCTTTGCATTACTGTGCCCTCCAGAAGAGTCTCTCCACGTTTTCTTCTGTACTTTTTCTCAGAATGTCCATGGCAGCAATATCTTTTGGGTCTTGATTGGCATAGAAATGATGTGACCATTGGGATAAGGATTTATAAAGGCCCCATGGAGCCACAGGTACACATACATAGATCATCTTGAGGAACACATTGGCACATTGGTGGCAGCTGAGATCTGGCCAGAGTATCATGGATTTGAGCCCTGGCTCTGCCACTTACCGAGGGCATTAGTTTTCTGGGGCTACTGTAACGTATTACCATCAACTAGGGGGCTAGACCTTCAGAATCAAGATGTCAACAGGCTGTATGCTCCTGTAGACCCTTACTTGTTTCTTCAGCTTCTGGTGGTCCCAGGTGTTCCCTGGCTTGTGTCTATATCATTCTGCCTCGACTTCCATCTTGCACAGCCTTCTCCTCTTCTCTCTCTCTCTTTCTTCCTTTCTTTTTGACTTTGGTTCTCACTCTGTCACCCAGGCTGGAGTGCAGTGACACGATCATGGCTCACCCCAACCTCAATTTCCTGGGCTCATGTGATCCTTCCACTTTAATCTCCCGAGTAGCTGGGACTACAGGAACGTGCCATCATGCCTGACTAATTTTTTTTATTTCTGTAGAAATGGGGTCTCGCTATGTTGCTCAGGCTGACTTCAATGCCTTGGGCTCAAGTGATCCTCCTGCCTTGGCCTCCCATAGTGCTAGGATTACAGGCTTGAGCCGCCACGCTGGGCCTCTCTGCGCATTTCTTTCTTTTTTTTTTTTTTTGAGTTGGAGTCTCACTCTGTCACCCAGACTGGAGTGCAGTGGCTGCTCCCTGCCACTACAGCCTCGACCTGCTGGGCTCCAGCTATCCTTCCGCCTCAGTCTTCCAAGTAGCTGGAACTACAGGTGAGCGCTATCATGCCCGGCTAATTTTTGATTTATTGTAGAGATGAGGTCTCACCAAGTTGCCCAGGCGGGTCTAGAACCTGCAGGCTCAGGAAGTCCACTCTCCTCGGCCTCCCAAAGTGCTGGGATTACAGGCTGAGCCACCAAGCCCGGCTTCTGTGCATTTCTTATAAGGACACTTACCACGGATGTAAGGGTCACTCAGGTAACCAGGCATGGTCTCATCTTGGGGTCATTCATTATATCTGTAAAGACCCCTTTTTCCAAACAAGGTCACATTCGCAAATTGTAGGTGTTAGAATGTGGATGTACACGAATCCATTCTACTGAACAGTCTTGGAAATGATACCGTCTCTGAGCCTCAGTTTCTTCACCCATGAAATGGAAATAGTAATTCCTACCTTACACAGTTATTATGCAAATTAAAGATGCTCCAGAAGCATGCATTTTAAATTTCGCAGTCGCCAGCTCTGTGGCACCGAGAGGTCTCAGTTACAAATCACTTGACCATCAATACCTCTGCCCACTTCTATAACACCTCCTGTTCCCTGCTCTGGTCTTGGTTCTCTCGTTCTCTGACCTTCTCGGTGTTCCTAAAACTCTTAGCACCTTGTCTTCGAGGTAGAAAGAACCTACTTACTTTATTTTTTTTGTGTGTGTGTTGGAGTCTCATTCTGTCGCCCAGACTGGAGTGCAGTGGCTGCTCCCGGCCACCGCAGCCTCGACCTGCTGGGCTCCGACGATCCTTCCGCCTCAGCCTTCTGAGTAGCCGGAATTACAGGCATGTGCTACTATGCCCGGCTGATTTTTTGATTTATTGTTGAGATGAGGTCTCGCTGCCCAGGTGGGTCTCGAACCCGCGGGCTCAGGCAATCCACTCACCTCAGCCTCCCAAAGGCACGGGATTACAGGCTGAGCCACCGAGCCCGGCTTACTTTATTTATTTTATCGAGTCGGGGTCTTACCAAGCCCAGGCTGGAGTGCAGTGGCATGATCATGGCTCACCGCAACTCAACCTCCTGGGCTCAGGCGATGCTCCAGCCTCAGCCTCCAGAATAGCTGGGACTATAGCCACATGCCGCCACACCCAGCGATTTCTGTTTATTTTTATTTTTTGTAGAGACTGGCTCTTGTTATGCTGCCCTGGCATACAACGATCCAAACTGCTGGGATTACAGGCACGAGCCACTGTGCCCAGCCTAGAAAGTGCTTATGACATATTTTTACACCAACTCATCTCCCCGGGCCAGACTGGCTTTCTCCTAGTCCTCGGGACCATGGGGGAACCAGTAGTGAGTATCGAATTGCTCCACTGGTCACAAAGGAAGAGCTGCTCACAGGTAAGCTGGAGCTTAGTTCTAGCTCTGCGGCCTTAGAGCTGTGTGACCTTAACCAAGCATCCTAACTTCTCTGAGCCCCAGCTTCTTCATTGGAAAGCAAAGCTGATGGTACCCGTCTCAGTAGCCTAGCACAGCCTCATGCAAAGACCACCTGGGATCATGCTGGTGTCGAGTGTCCCATGAGCGCAGGGTCTCGTCATCATTTCCAGCTCCAGTTGAGGGTGTGTTCCCTGACGCCAAGTGCCTGCCCTGACTCAGTCCCCTTCCCTTTCTCAGGTGTCCCTCTCTGCCACCCCCTCCACCCGTTTGGACCACCACTTCTGATCCACTCCCCAGGCTGACATCTGAGGCCGTGGCCTCTCCTGGGAGGGGTTTACTCACTCTGTCAGGGTTTTGAAGTCGGTCTGGCCCCGAGTGGAGATTGGGTAGGGGGATTGGAGTCTCGCGACAGAGATGTCGCCTCCCGGCACTGAGCCTGCCTCCCTGCTCAGGGACTCACTGGTGCCGCCAGGACCAGCTGAACTCTGAGAAGAGAAGACCCATTGTGCTGCCGTGACAGGGACATATCAGGGGCCTCTGGCTCCAAAGCCCAATAACAAGAGCAAAGCACTTTTAAGGCCACTAGACCACGGCTCAGATCACACTCTCTTTTTCTAGCTACGTCTCCCTGAGCAGTTTCACAGACCCTCTGAGCCTCATGTTCCTCACCTGCGTGTGGAAATGGCCATCCTTACTGGCAGGGTGGTGGTGAGGACCGGGGCACTGGCTCTGAAGCAGGTGCGTGGCACCTGGTAGTTGTCCTGATGCAAAAGGCAGAGCCAAGGAGACTGGCATTTATTAAGCGCTTCCTGTTTGCTGGATGCTGTGCATAGACTTTTCTCCCTTGGACAGCTCCATGCAAAGTTTAGACTATGGAGAGCCAGTGGAAGAGAACCAGTAGGAGAGATGACATCTGGATCTGGCCCCACACTGGACTAGTCCTCAAGCCAAAGTCAAGGTCACTGTTCCCATTGGCTCCCCCTACCTGTCCCAGCCAACGTGGACCCTGGTCCCAATGGAAAAACACTCTCATTATGGAAGGAAAAGGGATGGAGATCAGTCTCAGAGCCTCTTTGACTCGAGAGGATGCGGGTGGTGGGGCTGCTGGCTCACACCACCCTCCACTGGTACGGTGACCACAGAGGTGCCCAGGATCAAGAAGTCCTGATGACCAGCCCTCGCTGCCGGCCGTCCCTCACTCTCATGGATGGAACCCTCCCTGGGGCTGGTCACTTCTGTCCCTCCGACCCTCCCAGGTCTCCTCCTTCCCTGCCCCTCCCACCTCTTCGCTTCCCACCCTGCCCCCTCCTGTCTTCCCTCTTCCTGATTCCGAATCAACCGGCTCGAGACCATCCCCACAGACACCGAGTAGGCTCACCCCGGCCCTTGCATCTGCTGTTCCCCTGGCCCAAGGCCCTCCTTGCCCAAATCCGACCCAATCGTCACGACCAGCTCAGATGCTGCTGACACCAGGGGCCGCTGCTTGGCTCCCGGGCCTCACGGTGAATGTGGTGTCCTTTCTTTGCGTCCCCGCGATAATCCTGCATGCTGATTTCTGTCTCTGCTCTTGTCACATGATAACAGCGTGATTCCTTCATGTTTGTTTCTTCTCATAATCCAGGGTTGTCTTAAATGAGGCCAAAGAGAGCTTAGGTCGGCAGTCTCAGGGAAGGGAAAGCGGGAGGGTGTCTGAAGAGGGCTTTTATCAGCCTTTCTCCAGTTCCCTCTCACCCCCATCAGAACTGGCTGGACAAGGTCTGGGGTGTGTGTAGGGGACACAGTTATTTTGCAGAATCTCCCAGCAGATTCTGCCTGAGGTCTTACTTCTCACCCTAACACCCATGTTCGGCCAAGCCACTGAGCTGAGTGGGCAGACTGACGAAACACCCCTTGACCTGCACGGTCTGGGGCATCGATGCAGGTGGCGTAGGCTGTGGGGGCAACCCACGTTTGCATACTCTAGGGGGGCTTCAGATTGGGAAGCTGATGATAAAGTGTCACTCGTACATGGAAGTGGAGCACGGCGGGAGTGGTGTGGAAGGGAGGTTGGTGTT